CAGACTGAAGAGCAAAATATTCAGTGAGAAACTTAATGATAATTCATGTTGTTTTCAATATATCCTTAGTCTGACTTTAATAATTACAATTATTTCTAGTGTTTCTTTTTTATTCCAGTATTGTGATCACATTGTTTACATTTCACCTTGTTGAATTTCACTTTAAGACGTCACTATAACTGAACTTACCTGCAGGTATCAGTGTCTCTGCTCATATCATATTACTACTTTATTCATGGTTCTGTCGATGTTGCTTATAATTAACGACTCTGCCTCGTTCTCATGATGTGCTCGTACCTGGACAGGTAAACCCAGAGTTAACTGACCCAGTAGATAACCAGCTTCATAGGACAGGTGATCAGGACAATGTTAGGTTAAGTTTAACCAGATAACTAAAACCCGGACCGCTTATCCTGGGTATGTTGAACTTGCTTCAAGCAGTACAGGCCTCTGATCATTTAACTGTCGAAGTCTGCTCCTCTGTTCCCCTGCTCACGGTTCATCTCCCTGCAGTTCCCCCTTTTCTCCACCAGATGTCCTCCCCCCATTGTTTCATCCACACGAATGTTCCTCAGTCCTTATCAGTCCTGCATTGATGCCACCAGCCCTTGGTCCGTGTTCAGAGACGGATCATCTGTTTTTTTTCTAGTGTTGCTCCTGTGAAGTATCTTGTTGTTTGTTCCTGCTTGTTCTTCTGTCCTCCTGTGAGTCTTTTGCTTCATTAGTAGTTACTTCACTACATCAGCCTGGCTGTGTGTCAGCATTCGGGCCCTCTGCCTGTGATGCCATTCACTGTGGCTCTGTATGATCAAATATATTTAAACCCTGGAGAATTTCTTTCCTGCTGCTTTAATGAGACAGAGAGAACGATTAATTCAGAGTAAAATCTGTGTCAATTCAGCTGTAGTGCGATCACTTGCTAACATGAAGCTCAGCGAAAGTTCAGTCAAGAAGACGTCACATGCCCCATTTCCTGCTCTGTCTAAGCTCCACCTACTCATTCTCGTCTTCATCCAATTACAACCTGACACGCTGGTCTTTAGTCAATCACCTGTGAGCTGTCAAACTTGTGTTCTCTCTCTGCTGTCATACAGCTCCCACCTCCACCCTACACCACCTCGACCGTTGAGTCTGACCATCTCCAATCAAACCATCAATCAGAAGTTTCCCTCTCATGAAGACGTTCCATCCTCGAGCTCCACTCCTCATCACCATCATCACCACAACCAGCGTCTTGGCTCCGGGGAAGGTTTCCTCTAATTGAGATGGCCTTAAACCTATGGATCGTTTCCACAGTGATCCAAAGTCTATTCCTTCTGTTCACAATAAATTTCACTTATTTGATCTGCTGATGATGATCAGCTTTCCTTCTTCTACTGACAATGCAGAGAACCACCTATGGCATTTAATTAGTCTAGTTAATTAGTCTAACTAATTAAAAGCCATAACCACCTCCTTGTTTGTTTAGCTAATTCCTGCAAGTTCATTCCTCCTGAGACAGTTTGACACCTTCATGTCTCCAGCCTGAGAAAAAAAAATCAAGAACAATCTCTTCAGAGCTCTTGTTCCCGGAGCTTGGATCCTTCATCAATGGTAAAATCCTCCAGCTGAAGATTTTTAGTTCCAATCACACTTTTTAGTCCTAGATCTGGTGCCCTCTAAAACCCTTCCTATACACACATACACACACACACACAAACACACAGATACACACACATCATCCATCAACCTTACACAAAATAACAACTTGTGCATCAGCATCCTTCACTTATTCTCTCACTTTGTTTCAAAAACACTGACTCAACCCTACAGTCCCTTGAAAGAGACACTTGCAGAATCTCTCACACACATAGTTGCAATTGGGACACATGTAGACACAGCTGCCTCTTGTGGACGAAATATTTCACAGGATCGTCTGGAGATTGGCAGAGTGAGTATGATGGACTCCACCAGCTGCTGCATCTTTGTTTCATCTTTGACCAGTTAAAGCTAAAACATCAGTTAGAATGAAGTGATTTCTCTTTCCATCTGATTTCAAAATAGAAATAAATGTAGAAATACAGAAATAGCATTTTTCATAACCAATTCATTAATCTATTTAATTATTTATTCCGCATTTACAGTATCCTCAGGTTCGGTCCCCCACTCTTTGGAACAACCTTCCTGAGGAGATTAGACTGGTGAGCTCTTTAGCCTCTTTCAAATCACTCTAAAGACATATTTTAATAGGTGTGCTTCTCCACACTCGTCTGAATATACTTTATTTATTACTCTGTTATTTTATTGAGTCATTCTCCTGTTTCTTATCGATTGATTGAATCATTGTAGACTGTATTATAAGTATTATTATTATTATTATTATTATTATTATTATCATCATTAATTAGCCAGACAGTCACTGTTGAGCAACAGCCCTAATTTTCTTTGTTGAAGACTTTACTTTGAAAAAAAAAACTGGCATTGAATTGCAGTGATATTTATGTGTCAATGAAATATACCATCATGCTTTCCATGCATAATCATAAATAAAAAATGATGAGTAATCCTGCGTGGACAAAGCTATTAACAGTTTCTTTATGACCCTTCACATATTACAAATTGGTAAAGTTGCAGTACACTGGTTCCGCAGCAGGTGTCAGCAACACCACATGACTGGGTTTATGGTCAGACTTAAACTGACTGGAATTATCATCTTTTTTTCAGGTCATCAGGTCATTATACATGAAAACATCAACATCAGTCTTATTTACATTTTGGTGAATCAGAATCAGAATCTGGTTTATTGCAAAGAGGAATTTGCTTTGGTGTGTTGGTGCATAACAATAAACATAGGAATAAGAAAAGAAATGTAAGCAAAGGTAAAAGAAACAAGTACCGCAGGTCATAGAGCTTAAATATACATAGAAAAAGCTTAAAAGTTAAGCTCTCTAAGTGTTATTCACTCACTGTGTTTGCTTTGCGAATGCAGCTCCACATCAGTGAAGAACGAAGTGAACACATTTTTCAGTTAAATGGCTTCATACTACAATTTGTTTGGATTAGGTTTGTGATACATTGAGTATAAAATATGTTGTATTTATCTAAGAAAAGAAAAAAGGAAATAAACTTTATTCCAAGTCTTGCCAGTCAGCACAGAATCAAGCATTAGTTTGGCTTTAGGTTTCAGATCAAAACTCCTAATTCCTCTTTACATCAAAACTCCTGCGACATTTAGGCTCAGACAATTTTGCCAAAAGTTGGTGTTAAATTTAAGCATTATGTACAGACACTCAGATTGTAATAATTTAATTCCATGGGACAGTAAAATCATTTAAATTAAAAAAAACCCTCTTGATGGAGCCTTGATCTGCCCTTTTGTCTTTCTGAGGATATATAGTGAAGTACAGCACAGTATGACTGCCATGTTGTTATGTTTTAAAAAATAAGGAAAACAATGTTGAAACAAAATTTTTTTCATTTTGTTTTTGCATCAAACTTTGTTTTTGCCCAGAGTCAGAGTCAAATGAGAAGAGTATCAACACAATGAGAAAATGTCTTTAGTGGATAACTATGTGTGGATACAGTGGAAGTTTGTACAAACACAATGAGAAGTGTGTGTGTGTGTGTGTGTGTGTGTGTGTGTGTGTGTGTGGTCTAAGTCTTCTGCGTGCAGGCCTTCAAAATGGAAAATTGTTTTCTTATTAACTTCCTGAACTGAACAAGCATTTTGCTCTTTAAGGGATTCTACCTCTTCTTCTATTGTGGCTTGGCTCTGAAAGTCAAAGCTAGTTTACCTGTGGAAGTTTTGGATGTCATCTGCACATCACACCTGTCACTGAGTAGTAGTAGAAGAAGCATATATTACTTTCCTGCACGTGCTGAATTCAACCTGCTGATAGGGCAAGGAATAACCTACTCTACACAGAGGCTCTCTACTGCTGTGTCTGGAGTGGAGGGTGAGATTAATCAGGTTGTCTGGTACATTTGGTACCTGTGTACAGAGTGTCAACAACTTCTTGCACAGTAAACAATGGGCTTCGTATTCATTGCCTTGAGCTGGTTTCAGTCAAAACATTGTTGTTTTCTTTACATTCATAAATTTTACTTTCCCATGCCACTTACAGCATCAGGCTAGATTAACAGAAGTCTGAGGTATAGTTCTGTTACAGTGGACTACACAACAAAACAAGCAACTGAGATTTTACGACTCAATGTAAAAAAAAAACTTAAAACCTTAATGAATGACTGGCAATAAATAAAGGCCTTTTTCTAGACTAGTGGATTAAAGATCTTTTAAAGAACCATGGATTCCCTGTTGTAGGACACAGAACAGCTTCATTGTGTGATTGGAAGATTTTGGCTTGTGGCCACAAACACTGAAACACATTGTTCTTACAATACAGTTGTTCTGTGTTGCTGGAGTTTTGATCTCTACCTTTTCTACCTTGGAAGGGGGCAGAGCTCTGCCAGGAATCCCTGGTGAGGAGCTGGAACCATTAAGTTCTTCTTCAGACATGTTTTAAATGATATAAAATACTCTGCTATGATTTAACGTGGTTTTCTACAAAATGGAAGTTCATCTACTCTTACTTCCTCATTGAGAAATCTGGATCAGGAGTCATGCAGCCCACCACTGCTTTCACTGGGTTGAGACCCAGACTGAAGAGTTTTTGAGGAGTCTGATGTATCAGAACGGTTAGCAAAGTTAGCGTCTTCTATTTGTTTATGTTGTTTGTTAGCTTGTAACTGGCAGTGACTGACACAGTGTTAGCAGTTGTGCTAATGCTGATTCAGGTTTGTTTAGCCCCGCCCCCCGTCCCCACAAGTTGACAGGATTGGTTCCTTAGGTTTGTCACGTATGAAACCCTGGCTGTCTGAATCTGTTTTTATGAGACTGTCATTGGTTCACTCCAGTTCAAGGTGGAAACACTCAGTCATGGTGTTGATGAACTTTTCTCTCATCATATGTCTGTATCATATAAACACATCATATGGATTTTAACAAGGTTAAACACTGGATTTTCATCAGAGGCTCTTTACAATAAAAGAAATACAATTATTCAATGATCAAAAAATTTGCCTTCAACAGTTTTGATCCAAGTTTGGATTCATTCTACTGACATTTATTTGTCTTTGTCGCTTTCTGAGGTTTTTGTTTCATCTAAAGTTTTTACACTGACACTTTGTTCTTGTTTTTCTTGTGCTGCATCAGTATCAGCAGCGGTGAGGTTGTTGGTCTCACTGTCTACAGCACCATCACTCTTCCTTGTGGAGCGGAACTGCACAGCTTGAGTCCCTGTTTGTGAAACACTGCCCTCATGAACATTTCCTCCAGACATGTTGGAATCAGAAGCCTTTTTCTGAGAGGGAGATGAGTTGACTATTCCCCCCTGTTCCTGGTTGCAGCTTTTCTCTGGAAGAGAAAAGTTTTAGTAATGATATAACAAAACAGCAGCAGGCAAACTTTTTATCTTAATTTCGTAATAATAATATTTTTTATTAATAATGTTGTCTGGAATATATCTGAAGGATTTGATACAAACATCAAAACAGAATCAATTTTTTTAATTGAAGCCATTGCACTTTATTGGAAGAGCTTGATTCTGTGCTGAAGAGACACTCCATTATTGAGAGTGTGGATAAAGGAGCTTTCAGACTGTGTCGGTCTGTTGAGGCTGATCAGAGAGACTTTCTTCAACTCTGGAAACCAAACATGAAAATCATAAAGAGGGAAATGTAGGCCTGAGCTGGAAGGAAAATGAGAACAATTGCAGGGAAAATTTTTTATTTTACTTTAATTAATTAATTTATTTATTTTATGTTCTGATATTAGTGCAAGTTGAGTGTGAGTGTATGTGGTTGTGTGAGTAATGTAGGTATTTTTGATCCCAAATTGCTGTATTGTTACTGTATGTTGTAATCTGTATGGGATGTGATAAGGAAATGATTTAGATATTGGGGAAAAAAATAATAAGGTAGTCATAATAATAATACTTTTTTCTGTGATAATGCTATGTAAACCTCTGTATCTGTTAACACACTAACTCTACTTCAAAGCCTTCAGTTTTGTTCACTTTAGAGGGCACAAAAAGTGCTTGCTGCTGTTTGTCAAGCTTATTGTTAGGAGCGGATTTTGAGACAAATTGCCTTTCGAATGAAGGGAATGTGAATGTCCAGACCAGAACCACAGACCGTTATGTCCCCCTTGGTCTGATCTGAGGTTCACTCACATCGACTGACAAGTGTTTGAGTGATAAAGTCTGACAAAGTTTAAGCAAACATTTGGATCTTCACAAAGGAAAGACTTGTTCCAGGACAAATGAGCAAAACAGAATATAACAGGGCACACGCTGTAATACTGCCAGACTTACACCTGTCTTCATTCATGTGACTAATACTTAAATACAACATATCAAACACATTATATAACATCAAACATTCAAAGAAGTGAAGAGACACTTACTGATGCAGTAAACAATAATCAGTGCCACGGCCACCAAGAGAGCAATGCAGAGAACAGCAAATACTAAAAGAGAAATGCAACAAAAGAGCTGTCAGAGTTTGAACACCTGGAAATTATAAATAACCGCAGGTAATACTGAACATTATAAATGATGACTAGAAAATTGTGTAACAATTGTATTTAGAGGAAGAAGTGCAGTGAAGAATGAGAATGAACAACTGGAACTGAGCATCACAAATTCACCATGTCTTCCTGTCTTAAGACTAGTTAAGACTTACTGCAGAACTATATATGTGTCAGTTACAGTTACAGCTCAGTTATCTCTATATCCTTGCATGTGCAGTAATTAGCAGGACATTACTACAGACAAAATTATATAACAAAAGTTAGTGTTTTGTTTTATAAAGTTGTTATTTTTAAAGGTTTCACTAAGTGCTACACATATTCAGAATCAGCATAACCCCAGCTCATTATATATAACTGACTGGTCACATCCTTCTGTCTTTCACTACAATAAACTCAGACCAACAGCTCAGACTTTGAGCTCAGAAGACCGTTTGCTCCCATTTACTTTGGGTGTACCAACAGCTGACAGCCAAGCCAAGCTTCTGAATCAGACACTCTGATTGAACGAATGTTGAACTGAGTGACGTGACTCTTGACATCACTCGTAAAGATGATGGATGAACTTTACATATTAGTTTATCGACCAAAGTCAGTGACTCACATGGAAAAACAGGAACTTCGAAAACACTGATTCTCTAGTTAAACGTGAAGAAACGGCATGTCTCTCATTCAAACCATCATGGAGTTATGAAGTTCTAAACACAATGCAATATTTAGAAGTGTATATGCTCCCATGGGCTTGAGAGGGTTGACCTCTACACAGATTGTAAAAGACATTGAGACTTTGCCAAAATCTAAAACAACACCTTCTGTGTATGTTGAGTTTTCTTGATGTACAATTTCATGCAATGACATAAAAATGCAACAGTCTCTGCATTGGTATTAGTGTTTACTGTGTTTCTAGCTTTGTGATGTGCCATCACAGAAATAGAGAACTTACCCTTTAACTCTGCCTGTGTGCACAGTAACTAGATGGAGCAGATTGAAGTACCTTGAGTAAGTGGAGAAGGTGTCATGTCTGTAGTTGCACTCAGAGTCTGGTGTGAAGTGGGGTTATAAACCGTGCAGGTCACTGTTAGTAACCCTGTGATGTTGACTGTGCTCCTGATGCTGTAGGTGCCATTAGCCTCAGGGGTAATGGTGGTTTCATGTAGTTCCAGTGTACGTTCATGTCCCTCCAGAAGGTCCCCGGACCTCCATGTGACTTCAGGTTTAGGGTAACCTCCTCTCGTGCTGCAGGTTGCAATCTTCTCATCTTGGTTTATCTCAATTTTAGGTTCATGGAAAGGAGCTGGAGATGGGTCAGCAATAGTTTATTGTCATTTTTCATGTGTGTGAATATTATAGGACTGGAACATTAACATGGCATGTTAAATAAAAGCAGTGGGGTGCAGTGAGTTTTACAGATAGGCAAGCAGTTTTGGGGCAAGTTTTACAAAGATGTTTCAGACTGATCTGTAGTGTTAGGTCAGTCTTAACTTCGCTCATAGATCAGTCTGATGTTAGTCAGACTGTTACACAAAAATAATCAATGACTGACCAGTAGCACCAAGCAACAAAAAACAGGAAAACATGGCTAATAATTTGGGGTTTGCTAACATTATTATGGAGAGAGCAACGAGAAGAAAAAAAGTTTTTAGACACCTCAGACATTTTTTTTTATTGTTTCACTCTTCAAGTAAAACATCCTTGTAACTGTCTCAATTTTTTTTCTGTCTTTATTTTTTCTGTGCTAATCCGAAAAATGTGTAATGTGATCCGTGACTTAAAATCCATGATACAGTCTGATGTGTGATTTTCCTGATCCATTGCACCCCTTATGACAACAATAATAGGCATATGAAAATATTACTAAATAATGAAATACATCAGAAATGTTATTTTATAGTTTCAAGGAAAATGATATTTAAATGTAAGAGGTCTGAACCCCATTAACTATTTCAATTCTCCATAGAGATATCTTAAAATTTAAGTGTACTTGAATAGAGTTTATTTTAAATGAAATGCTGTTACAATAACAAGAAATTGAATTTGTCAGGAAACAGGAAACAGGAAAATACTGACCTGATACATGCAGTGTCACCTGACAGAGCTTCTCAGGTTGCTCTGATGTTGAATTTATAAAAATAACTTCAAAGGCGGTCTTGTCATCTTCCAGCATCAGTGACTCAATGACCAGTGAGAAGTTCCCAGAGGATAACTGATCAGGGAAGATTTTAGTCCTGTTTTTAAATAACTGGTCTTGGTGTTCAAACTCTTCTTTTCCTTTTGCGTAAACATGTGCAACGATCACAGCTTTGCTTTGGCCCTGCCAGTATATGAAGCTTTCCTCAGGCTGGAATGGTTTGCTGAAGGTGCATTGGCATTGCCAGAGCCAGGAAAATCCTCTGGTTCCATTTTTAATGATGTTTGCAGATGATAATGGCAGCAGTAGAAACAAATGGAAAACTGTAAAGAGAGAAAAAAGATTCATCAAACGCTGTCTGTAACTTCTGCCTCTAGGGCTCTCTCAATCAAATCAATAACAAAAGATGACATAATGAAATAGTGTGGGATCATGGGAGTTGTTGTCTTCCCCACCATTACCCCAAGCTGCCGTTTGGATTCCTTCAGTGTCAGTGGTTCAGGAAATCAAACAGACCCAGTGATTCAAACCGTTAAAAACACTGAATAAAACAGTTTGACATTTAAAGTCAGTGTTTGAGCGACGCTGTACGGAGGACAGAGAATCAGGGAAGAGTTGGAGCTGACATTGATGCTAACCTTTGTTCTGATTGTTTCTCTGATAACTTATGAACCAGATGTTCAGCAGGTTTTTACCAGCAGCTGAATTCTCCACAGAGGTGTCCTCCTCTCCATAACAAACACACCAGGGGATTCAAACCAGTAGAAACACTGAATAAAGCAGTTTATGTTTAAAGATCAGAGATTCACCGACGCTCTTCAGTGACACAGGACAGGACGTCTCCAGCAGCTGGGAGCTGAGCTGTCTAACATTTCCTCAGCTTGTTTCTCTGATAACTTCAGATCCAGACGTCCGACGACTAAAATCCTTCATCTGGTTCAAATATAGAGCTGAAAACCACCAAGGTGTAAAAAGTGTATGTGGCTTAAAACTAGATAAAAGTTAATGGTGAGCTTCTGTCAGACAAACACACTGACACGGGAGAGACGTATCAGAGGATTGAAAAAAACAACCTGTGCGATTGTTCAGGTTGGATGAGTGGTTGGTTACGTATCATATGTAAATCTTTTTCAGCTGTTACAAATTATGTGTATATGTATACAAATCATTTACAAAGCTTTATGCACCCCCCTAAGTGTTGTCTATGTGTAAATGTGTAGCATACAATTTTCACTCTTCCTAAACTAGCTGGTTTTGTGGTCTATTCTTTAGTTTAACAGTGTCTAAACAGGACCATAAGATTGCCAAACTGGCGTCCTGCCACACCTTTTACTTCTTAATTATAGGAAGATGGTCTCCATTGTTTTTAAACTCATCTACCTCTGAGTTCTGGGTCTGGGTCTATTGCTTAAAGAATCTGCACACTTAATGATAGAGGTCTTCAGCTTCTGCTCATTACTCACTTTTTAAATGTTGCTGGAAATGCCACCGAAAGTGCAACATCAGATATGATACTGATATAACTTATCTATAGAGTTTTCCACTGTCATGAATGAGACGGCCCAGGGGTCCATTACCATGTTCTTTTGCAAGCCAATCATATCATTCAATGACCAAAAGGTGGTCCACCAGTAATTCTCTGTCCAGTTCCCCCTGAGCCCCCCACACAGTCTCCTTACAGGTTCTCCAGGCCCAATCTTATAGGTCTTCATACTGTCTTAAATGGAATATATTCTCCCTAAATTGTTAACAGAATTATTAGGTGTTACTTTAAGTTGTAATGTTAAATTTTCTTCAGAGGCTGATAATTAGGGGACATAGAGGATATGATCTCATATCACAGATTTCTCTGGTTTGAGAATTAATAGAAACATTTAGGAAAATGACAGAATACAAATTAACAATATTGAGAACATATGTCTAGTTGATTTTAGACATTTTAATGAGGAAGGTTACAGATTATAACTTTTAAAATTACCCAGAGCCCTTAACGCCAAACTTCAGTTTCTACCAATGTTCCTTGACATCAGCTACAGTGCATTGAGAAAGTGTTCAGATCCCTTAACTTTTATGACATTTCTTATGTTGTAGCCTTCTGCTGAAATTGCATTCTCATAGAACACTTCCTTTTTTATTAAGAGGACAGTTTGCGAGGACATGTCATAGGACATAAAAAGAAAGGCAGATGTGTATCCAGTAGGATAACTCATACCAGCACCCTGGCACTGGCTCACCTAAATGGAAAGTAGGCATCATTTTATGAGTACTGATTTCCTGAAAGCTAACAAAAAGACAGACTTTACATTAGGACCAGGTTGAGACAACAGAGGACTGCTCTTCATGTGGAGGCTAAATAATAAACCTCATACTGGTGGGAAAAAAATCTTTTATTCTAGTAACTATGAGTGAATTAATAAAAGTCAAATAATAATATCTTACCAAGTGATATCGCAGACAGCACGTATGTCATAATTCCAACCATGATGTTCTTTCACTAAGATGTTCCCATGAAGCTGAAAAAGATGAAGCTGTCACTCATGGTCTAGACAGGCTACGTAAAATTCCACTTCCCCTTCAATTGTTTGCCCCTCCCTCCCTCTCTCTCTTCCTCTCTCTCCCTTCCTCTCCGTTTGTCTAAAATTCAAAGGTTTGTGTGTGATAGAGAGAAAGTGTCAGCAGTCCGACAGTGTGAGGGAAGCTGTTGCTCAATCATAGTAACTGTGTGTGTGTGTGCATGTGTGTGTGTGTGTGTGTGTGAAGCCACCGACAGACTGTGAGATGTGAGATTTCAGCAATCTTGGCCACATATGGATTGGATTGACGTATTGATGGTGGTAAACAGCGGTGGCCCTGAAAGCTCAACACACTGCAACTTAAAAACACATGCAAATAGACAAAACCATAGACTGTAAGTAAAGATGGACGTAGCCTCAGAGGTTTCTGAAGAGCGGTTTTGAAGCTAAGACTGGGCTCTCCACTGTCGCCATCTTGGCAGTGCCTGACTCTAGTGGTCATTAAAAGAACTGCAGGTTTTAGCACTTCATTGCTGTCTTCACTTATTAGCCCCAGAGGTTGATGCTTTGACAAAACACAAACAACTTCAGAAAACATCTTCATTAATTAGACAACACATGCTGCAAATACTCACAACGCAACAGAAGTGTTTCCAGTGGACACAAAAAAGTGATGAACCTGGCTGGGATGAAATTGTTTAAGTTAAAAGCAATGAACAACAAGTGAAGAAGTTCCCTCAAGACATTACTGAGATATTGCGTTCATATGAATAGTAGAGACAGATGAACAACCCAAAAACATAACGCAGGTCGCCAGTGCAGAGGCATAAAAAAAAGACGTGAATGATTGAGTGATTATTTTTTTCTTCTGGGTTGTCATTAGGTAGTCATTGCTTTCCTTGAACTCATAAGCATCAAAATGTATGTGTAATATAATGAAAATTTTGTGAAATATTTTTTGAGACTGACTTTGTTTATCTCTGCAGTATGGCTTCTACTGGACACCGAGGCGGAGGTCTAGATCAAGGGAGATTTGACACTGACCACTATGATGCTTAGGAGGAATATGAAGTAGTGAGTCCATAGAGTTGGAAACATCTGTCTATGAGACAGATGTTTGCGAGGACGTGTCATAGGACATAAAAAGAAAGGCAGATGTGTATATAGTAGGATAACTCATACCAGCACCCTGGCACTGGCTCACCTAAATGGAAAGGAGGCATCATTTTATGAGTAATACAATTCCGGAAATGAACAGTTGGTTCCTGAGAAAAGCCTGTAGCACTGGCGCTGGGGAAACAGGCAAGGAAATCTATAGCTTACAGTTCTGATAAAAATGTGTTTAACCAACTAAAGAAACAGACGCTGTCGTGGTATATTTTGTGTGAGACAACTGTGAGTGGAAAGATGAGACTGGTCACTCAAACAAATTACTGATATACCAAAGTCAATAACATTAATTTTTTGATTTGACTGATTTTTGACTGATCTGTCTATGAGACGGATGTTTCATATGAAACTGACCCAGACACAGAACCAGACCCAGAACCACGCACAGACCCAGACCTAGACCCAGAACCAGACACAGACCTAGACATGGAACCAGATATAGACACAGAACCAGAACAGGACACAGACAGAGAACCAGACCCAGACCCAGACCCAGACAAAGAGACAGAGACAGAACCAGGACCAGAACCAGACCCATACACAGACCCAGACCCAGAACCAGAACCAGAACCAGAACCAGAACCAGAGCCAGAGCCAGACACAGACGTCGGCACGGAAACTTTACATGATAATTTGGCAGCATGGGCTGTCAAAAAGTCACTCACAATGCACTGACACCCTTACTTCGCCAGCACTGTTCAAACTTACCAAGTGATGCTAGAACATTGCTTGGTACACTTTACATTCTGTTCAAGGTTAAAGTTGGGGCCAGTATAACCATCTTGGCATGGTGTTAAAGGAACGTTAAAGAAAGTGCCTGTTGGTGGACAGCTTTTAATCATTTGGCTCTTCAGGTTAACATTGATGGGCTGCCACTATTTAAGTTACACCACGCAGTTCTGGCCCATACTTGGTGCTATCCAGAATCCTCCACAATATGATCCTGTTGTAATTGGTCTTTTCTGTGGTACAGCCTGGATGAGTTCCTGGGGGATGTTGTGTCAGAGATCAATAAACTTGAGAGAAGTTTTAAATTGGATGTGATCAAACTTACACTGACAGTCTAAGCAGTAGTGTGTGTGATGCGCCCTCCTGGGCTTTTGTAAAATATGTATAAGATCACTCAGGATATGAGAAATGCACATAGTTCCAAGAACAGATACAGTATGCCTCTATAGGGAAAGATGTCCAAAAAATGACGACCATCACCTTGGGAACTCCCCTCGGAAAGTCCCCTCGGGAGAACACATAATTGGGGGATGCTTTCTGGATTTCCAGTGAACTACATGTATGAGAGGTGAAAGTAACAAAAATGAATTGATAGTAATGGACGTGATGAAAATGCATGTGAATTGAAAATGGAGCAGTAAATGTTGGAAAGGCAGCAGACTGTAGCGCAAGTGCCCTCTTGTGGCAGAAGTTGAACAATTAAGCACATGGAGCCTGTAAACTGGTGAAGTGAGAGGATCACTGAGGACAGAGTACTGAGGGGGCATTCTGACATTATGTGGCTCGCTTATGCTAAAGCTAGTTCATCTGCTCCTATTGAGTGGAGGAGTTATATTAACAATAGACAATGCTGGTATTCTGTATAATATGAACGTTTGTTTACACTGCAACTTCAATGATCAGTCAGCGAGTAATTTCTTCTTTCTATATACAGCTGGAGTGTTATGAGTCACCATTTATCTATTAGTTGTTGAGTAAGCATATGAGTAATGGCAACCAGACGATAGGAATTTTTATTTATATTTGAAGTAATAAGCCACACATTGTTCAGCTGGCACTTGTAGTTGAAGAGCTGTACTGTTGTGCTACAATATAAGTCCGTGACGAAGAGTTAACTACTTGCTGTCAACAACAAATAAATGTCTAAATGTCTAAACACTATTTCAAATAAAATATTAATCAAGTTAATCAAATCAATTGACCATTTCTCACTCTATTTTTCCTTTCTATTTTGCCTCCTCCTCTGACTCAAGTGTTCCTTTGCTCGTTGGCTACATTTGAAGTAAATAAGATCACACGGAGGCTTGTGGAAGCTCATTGGGCCATCACAATGAAGTTTGCCCGCAGACAGGAATTTAGACAGTTTTTATTTGTACTGTTCCAGTCTTATTGTCTACATTTTGTCCAGCAAAGCCCCGGTGGATGAGTAGTTGGAGTATGCTAATGATGTACTTATTCTATTTATTCTATTTGTCTAGCAAGAGCTTTAGAAAGCTAACAATCTGTAATACAATGTGCATATCTTGTGCATCTTCTACAGTATGTGTTCTTGAGTCATTCATTGCATTTAATATAAAAATGTATTGCACAAAGTCACAATTCTTGTGATGAAAACCACATGTCCATTAGCTCAAATTGTAAAGAGACTAAATGCAGTTTTGATGTGGAAAAGTTTGGCCTCAGAAAGCCAAACACTGAAAACCCCCTTCCACCACAGTGAGGTACAGAGAGACATTCACTACTAAGATATTGTAGGGTTAATAGTTACATTTATTTACAAGGTCATGTAGCAAGGGTTAAGAACATAATTTCGGTTGGTACATTGAGGTGTACATTGCATTTAGTGTATTTATGCATCAGGAATTTTTTTTATGCCTCCACAACAGCGGCAGTCATAGTCTGAGGCATATTGTTTTCAGGTTGACTGTCAGTACGTATGTACATACGTCCCACATATGCCCATTCCTGTGGACATGATATCTAGGACTCAAAATGAACTGATTAGATTTTTGTGGTCAAAGGTCAAAGGTCAAGGTTGTTGTGACCTCACAAAACACTGTTTTGGCCTTGTGAACGGAATATCTCCGTTGTTTCAGTTTTTTTACCTTCTCCCAGACCTGTTTCATGCTGTGGAAAAAGGTGTTTGCCTGCTCGGTGCTACCTCCCTGCTGACTTTTAAACATCGCAGGTGAAATAAAATGCAGCAAGTGCTCGACCAGCAGCTCAGAAATGTTCAGAGCTGCTTACCCCAGAACTAAATGTAGACCCTGGTTTCTGCTGTTGAAACGTGCATAGTTCCTCAAAAGGTTCCTGGTTCCTGGGAAAAGTTCCCGCGGTGGAAACACTGCTTCTGTCTCACAGTTAGTCATGTTCTAGTCATTATAGCTCAATAACTTCATTAGACCTGTGTTACAAAAGTGGTGTAGTGCGGTGTGCTGCTCTCTCTCCCTCTCTCTCCAGTTACCGCTCCTCTTCCAAATGGGGGAGATGGGCTGCACCCACTTATTAATTAGCGCAGGAGTCATAGTGGAGAATGGGAGCCGAGTCGGGGGGCCAGTGGCCCAGTGTTTGGCAGCAAGATCACTGTGTGGCTGTGCGTGTGTCTTACTCCTTGCCGTGAAGGAGGGTGCTTGGTGTCCCGATTACCTGTTTTCTTTTGTTCTCTGATTCCTGGTTGTTTAGTGTTTCGCAGTTATTTGCAAACCAGCACTTTTAGTTACCTTTTTCAGTGATTTAGTTTTGTTTGAGTTTGATGATGAATGTAATTTTTTCCCTCACACATTGTTTTGTTTTCTGATCTTTCTTTCCTCCTGGGACACATTTTTACATTTGTTACTCCCCTGGCCCCATCGGGGAATGTAACAAAATGGGGGCTCATCCGGTATCAAATTGGAAAGAGAGGATCTGGAGGTAGATTCATTGTGTGAGTATTGTGTTGTTCTAATTGTCTCTGTTCTGGTGGCGAGTATTGCTGCCTGAATTAAACCAGTGTCTAATCCTGTTAGGTGTCCCTGGGTGAGTGTCCAGCTGGGCTGTGTTTAGCCTCTCCATCTGGTACTCTTTTGTTATTTTGCCTTTTTTTGTTTTAGGAGCAATCCTGGGTGGGGACA